GAATTGGTGTACACGTTCTCCTGCGCGAGCCGTTGGAGAGAGTACAAAAAGCAAGAGGGATGTGTGCGGGTGTCGTGACGTGGATGAACGTCAAAGTGCGAAGGGCGTTCTCGATCAATGGGAGCCCCGCGGTAGCTGACTACTTAGTATTAGCGACCGTAAACCCCAGGCCGCGTTTACGCCGAGCCTCACCCCACGTGCGGTTGGACTTGCAAACGACTGTTGCGTTCAAATTCGAGTTTTTGAATGTAAAGGCAATTGTGAGTAACTGCTTGGACCGAGAACGTTGAACATTGATGAAGCGATGAGTCTCTCATGATCGCTCTCACCGTCAGCACACAGGACTCCTTCTTACGACAGCTGAACACTGACTGTTTGTAATCAAGACATTCAAATTGCCGACAGCCAATCGTGTTTGAGCGTCTTTGTCCGAGACTGGACCGGCGATCTAGGTGGATCCCAGATTTGAAAGACGGCACATTCCATGCGGCATTTACATGCTATCTTCGGCAAGAAACAAGTAATCAATCCTCACTCGAGTCTTGCGAATAAGGTAAAACATTCCTAGCCATGATACAGCTGTATGCGACCGTAGCAGTACGTACGGCTGTCAACGGGATACAGTTTTGAAGTGATTTTGCAGGCTCGTTAGGAACAGCTTCACGTGTATCAACATAGGTAATACTATATGGTCATCTATGACGGACCAGCACCATAGTACCTAGGTAGGTCTGGAGACTACGTAGGAAGTGGAACTATCATTATGCCTAGCCGCACAAGGACCAAAGTCAAAGACACCAGATCGAAAGTGTTCAAATCCAAGCGCTTTGGGGCGATTCGTGGCTTGAGAGCACATGTCTGTCGCTACGTGGTACCTCCAAGGCTGAGTGCGATGGCCAGGTGCCCAGGTGGGGAGGCCATGTCACGTGGTGTCCCACGTTCCTCCTCGACGCGTCGCGACTCCACTATCGATAACATCGTCCGATCAACAACGCCCAGCAACCCCTCCATGTAGACCAAAAGCGCATCGACGTGATGGCTACCGCCCCCGACTACAAGAACATTCCCCACTCCCACCGGCTGCCCGTAAACCACCGCGAAGTCCAGCGAACCTTCACCAAGCTCTCCCGCCAGTCCCTCGTATCGCTCGCGTTGCAATGGCTCAGCAAGAAGAACCGCGACTTCTGCAAGCCATACCTCCTCGGCGATCGGATACAGGATGAAGATGAAGAGGAGATATACGAGCCGGCGCAAAGCTATGAGGTGCTCCAGGAGACGTACAAGCAGCTTGCCGCGCGCAAAGGTGGCAGGAGAGAGGTGCTCGACCGCATACTCGAGGGAGACTGGCGACACGGCATATCCATGTACCAGCTGGCAACGGCCGAGATCCAGTACCTCCTCGATCATCCAAATGCCTTGCGCTGGACAGCCAAGCGTCTTACCAAAATACCGAATGCGCGATCACCAATAACGGACATGGAAGTCACAAACGATTCAGACCACCTCCCACGCTTCCAGGCGCAGACCTTCATGTCCAATCTCGCAAGAGAATTGACCCCACTGATGAAGGCGCATTATCTGATGACACGGATTAAAACATCGCCCATGACCATACTACGCGTCTACATACACGATTCGCCCTACAGCAACGAAGCATCGTTGACCGTAGAGTCCAGTAGCACGGACAGTGCGAAAGCCGTATTCTTCGTCTGGCCAAATGGCTCGCCTTTTGTATATTCTTCGCTAGCAACGCTCACCGGCCAGGTCGTCGGAGATGAGGGGCGGCATCTGAGGGACATCGTGCAACAAGCAATACCGAAAGCCTTCTCGAGGCCTTCTGCGCGTTACCAGCTGACAAGCACAAACTTTACTACCAAGTCACTCGATGCGCTGCTCACGTACCGCGGTCCTGGCAAGAGCAATGCAGCTGCAGGTGGTTGGAGCATCTTTCAGGATCATAGTTTCAGCCAGAATGCACTAGATTTCATTACCACGCAAAAAGGCGACGGACAAGAGAAGAGTGCAGGCGAAAAGGGCAGTGCCGCCAGTGGACCCAAGACTGGGCCAGGCAGGCCTAAGCGACCACTGGACGGCAAAGAGTCTTCAGAGGCCAAACGTAGAAAAGAGATAGCTGCTGGCCGCTTCGGTAGCTCGGCGCAGCCCGACGATGGTCAAGGCCTTGAACGAGTCGAAGTTCGCATTGATGACCCATTCCCGTCTCCCGTCAATGGCAGCACTGCGACGCAAGTAGACGGTGACACATCGAACCTCGATGCCCAAAATTCCCACCAGACACGACGTGGCCGTCCTTCCCTTCTCGATAGAACCGCGGAAGATATTGAGGAAATACGAGGCGAAGAAGGCTGGGTACCAAATGTGCGAGTCACTTTTCAAGGAACGCATGTTTTTGCTGGCATCAGACAACTGGTTGAAGAGGGTATTGTAGATGGGGAGAAGATGCCAGGTTGGATGACTGGCGAAGCAGGTGTCACAATAGGTTCGGTCAAGGACGGGCGCATTCGGAGCAAGGGAGGTGTCCCAGGTGTATGAACTGGTGCTTGAATTACAATGCGCGGCGCTGGCAGGTGTTTCTGATATCCATATACCCCATTACGATGATGCGGCGTATGGCGTTGTTCTTACACTACGACACAAGTTATGATATTGTGCTTCTGTAGAGAAAGCTTAGCTTCGAATGTTAACTTCCAAGGATCGAAGCTCCGTTTCGGCTTGCAAGCGAAGCCATTTCCGGTCAGATGGAGCTTCCTACTCTTGTTTTTCTATGCTCAAAATTCTTTAGCACCTTATGGTCCTTCCAAGTCCACAGAGTAGCTTTAGCTGCAAGCTCTTTCCTTGTCTCCTTCTGCACGTCATCCTCCATGCTTCCTGACGCGCGTCCGAACCTGAGATCAACCACGGAGAGCACATCCTCGGCGACCGCTCGAGACGTGCCCAACGTTTCGGGGCTTCTTATCAAAAGTTGATCCTTGCGCTCGAGGTTCATCAGCGCTCAGCCCTTGCATTTATTGACATTCGTCGATGTCATCTGTCACCGAAGACGACAGCTTCTTTATGGCTACGGCGTGGAACACCGGCAACGTATTCAATTCCTGACGAATCTATTGAGCATTCCAATCCAGCTAGTGTCCACTTTGAGGGCCCTTCAACGTCGTGTGGCTTGACCGACTCTTGCGGCTCGACTCTTCAGGCCGCAAGGCCGAGACTTCCAGATAAATTCTTCACGAGCCACAGCTTACAAGCCACAGCTAGATCTCTAAGTGGCTAGCCGGAAAGATCGGAGTCTCGCCCAGCCCGTGGCTAGTAAAAACGATGTCATGCTGCAGGAGCATGCATTCGCGGCCTTGCATAACGTGTTGCTACTGAACCGGGGATTGGGTGTGGCTTGCTGTGGCTAGAGCACGGTCTCCTTGCGTGCCGATACAGCCGTAAGGCTGACCGTTACGCGCAAGGGTTAGAGGTCATGTGTTCTCGTATTAGGCGTACGATAGCGTTTAAACCGAACGAGACTGAGAACACTGCAGGATAAAGTGGGTTATTAGCGTTGGATGAAGCTTATGGTTGGGCCAAGATAGACGTTTGTGCCGAGCCGACTTCCCCTACGTCGAGCCTGTGACTCCACCCAAGAGGCTTGGGAACGGGAATAAGTCTTGACTGCATTTTGAGGTGAAGGACGCAGTCTTGGCGTGCTCTGAGAGAAAGCATATATACTCGAGTAATGCCCCTAGCATACACTGCCACAATCGATGGTAGCACCACCTACGAGCATCAGTTCCAAACCAATAGCCTCAACATCAAAGTCAGACAAGATTCGAGACTATCAAACACACTCCACTATCAACCAAGACCTCAACGTCATCACCTTTACCACTCAGTCCCCTACCATCCTGCCGATGACTGACTACAACAACCAACGCATCGACGCACAAGACTTGACTCCAAGGCTTGCCTCGTTCGAAAACAAATCCAACAACAACAACTCCACCACCAAATCCAATGGAGATACCGCCTCCGATTCAGTTCTGTCCCAGCGACGTCCCCGATCCACCTCTATTGACAGCGGCATCATGCCCCGTTTCACCAAGTCAGCAACAACGTCCACAACGGGCACCAACGACTCTCAGTACTCGCAGTACTCTGGTCTCCGTGTCATGCATGCTGAGCCCAGCTCCAAGACGCACGCTGAAAGTGTCGGCGTCGCGCCAGGCGAGTTCAGCAAGCCGCGCGTTCACAAGCGCAGCCGCAGGAACACCCAAAGCAGCGTTGGCAGCGGCAGGAGTGCGAAGAGCGAGGAAGCTAAAGAGTTCAAGTACTATGGCCGGCACAGCAACCAGTGGCTCTTCAATGACTTTAGCGTCACTGACGCTGTTTCCAAGGGCTTCAAGAGGGTCTTCAGCAACAATGGTAGCAAGGATTGGTACGAGGACAGGGACCGTTAGATATGGCACTCAGAGAGAGACTGCTTCAAGCAAAGGGACTGGACACTCGTTTCATCATGTCGAGGGAAGGCAAGAGGCGCGATTGGAGGGAGAGACATATATCGAACAACAATACAATCACTCGCATCATCACTACCATTCACTCTTGTCTGCGCGTAGTTTGCTAACAGAAAGACTCTTCCATAGCCATGTCCCCGCTAACTAAAGCAATGAGTGCAATCCTATACGCAGTCGATGACGCACAATTACACAAGAACGACCCACGGGAATCTCTTCGAAGAGGCAACATTGTGAATCACAAATGTGCAAAGCCCATGCCATCAAAAACAACGAGGTAAAGAATTGTAGAATGCGACATTACATCAGACTTCATGATGGTCATAAGGCGATCCAATTACACTAAACCAGAGACGATCTCGTGAGATCAGGTATCATTCGCAAAGAAACGCCACCGCTATGGAGAAAGGGCTCATGTCATGCCCCCCAAAACGCCAATACACCAGAAAAACGCCTCCATGTCTACATTGCACTCTGCACTTATCCCTAAAGCATCATACTTTTCCGTCGACTAGCGGCGCGTTCGGCTCTCAGCGTGCTCGTCTCCCTATCTCTGTCCCGTACTTTTGCGTCCTCGACACCATCGACCTTCGTCCTGAGGTCGTTCGTGCTTTCATTGGCTGGTAAGCTTCCTGTGGTGGGAGGCTTCTTGTCTTTTACTGTCGTTCGAGCACTCGACGTACTCCTAGCAATACCATTAGTACTGTTGCTTCTCGCTAAGCTCGTACTACTACTACTTTTCACATTTCCGCTGCCAGTGCGCTTATGCAAAGAAGGGAGCGTGCCCTCAGTCTTCTCCCTTTCAGCTCTGCGCTCGTCCGACACCGTTGACGAGGAAGATGTAGGCATAGCGGAGTGTCGCCGTGCGCTTCTCGCTGTTTTGGCAAGTTCGTTGACGCGGGCACGTGGGTTGGACCCAGTGTCAGCAGGTGACGAGTCCGTGAAGTCGAATACAGCCAAAGTGTCCTTCTCTGGTGGTGCTTGTCTTACAGCTATCGTATCTTTGCTTGAGAGGGCAAGATCTGCAGATTTGGCGGTGAGAGGCTCCGACACTGGTCCCGCAGTTGAAGTAGCCACTCTTCTCTTAGCAGTGCTAGTCTCGGTAATGAGCGCGGATATGGCTTTCGAGGTCGTTGATCGTTCTTCTGGCTCAGCCATTGACGCGGGCGATGCTTTGGAATCTTGGTTCCGGTCAAGCTTCTGTCTCAACGGGCTTCCAGCTTCAGCTTCTTCCTCACCCCTCGGTTGAGTGACTGCCGATACCGGCTTCCACGCGATTTCGCCATCGGCGTCCCGTTTGACCAATGTGGAAGGTACATTCTGAGTATCTACACTGGCCCTGCGATCGATCACCGCGTCGACCAGCTTGGCGTCTGGACGCCGCATCTTCACATTGAGACTGGGCTCTTTGTAACTGACTTGGGGACGGGCTCGTCTACCCGGTCGTCCAGCTTGACCGGTCTGATCGACTGAGTTGAGATCCCCTGGTGGTGGTGTATCCTTGTTGTCTGGTCGTTGTGTCGACGGCTCTGTAGATGGTGGAGAGAAGGTCTCTTCCACGGCGGGTGTTTTTGGGGGTAGAGAGTCAAGCACAATCTCAGCAGTAGGCACCGGTTCAGGCATTGGTAGAAGCGGGAGTTCTGACGTCGTGTTGCGCGTGATATTCAATCGAGGGCGGCTGCGGGCCTTAGGTGCTGGCTTGTCTGGCTTATCTGGTTTGTCTTGACCTGAAGAGCGTTGCTTCTTTGGCGACAAGACTGGATCGGTATTGACGGGTTCTACCAAGTCAGATTTGTGTACACTATTGCTTTGGGGGTACTTACTAGCTGAAAGGACGGGAGGGCGTTCTAGTGCAGAAGGTCTAGAGTCATCATTTGACGCCTCCACGTCCGAAGCACCTGGGGCATTCCGGCGGCTGAACCTGAAAGCATCACTCTTGGCTTGGTTCACTTCCTCATCCTCTTGAACGCTGAACTTCCGCTTGGCCCCAGTGCGCAGAGGCTTCGCGACTGGCTCTTCAGACTCTTCCGGTGATTCGAAGAGAGATACACGACGTATATTGAGCTTGGGCCCGCTCTCGCGTCGCTTCTTACGCGTCTCGAGGTTCACCGATAGTGCAGGTTCACCGTCGTCTGCAGCTTCTTCTCGCTGCTCTTCTATCGCGGGGCTGGGGTCGAAACCGATGGGGTCTTCGTCTTCGAATCGGGCAACTGGCGGAGGGCCAATGTCTGGGGATTGACTGTCTGGGTCTTCTAAGGTCTGCTGAAGCTCGTCCGCACTGCAAGAAGTTAGCTTCATGCGCGTCTGTACGTGTCACGGCTTGGAACGCGATGCAGACGTACCCCATTGTCCTGCGAGGATAGTATTTGTCTTCTGTGATAGTAGGCAGCATGGCGTTCTCAACCTCCTGTAGACCCAGTCCACTCCTCCATTGCCGCTCTTCTCCGCTCCTCCTCTTCGCAGTCATCTGGCTTTTCCGTCTTCCTCTGTCTTTCCCACTCCCACTTCTTGTTTGCGATAGGCCAGCTACCAGGCTGCTGAGCTCTGATAGCTTGGCTTCAAGCTGTGTTTTGACAACATCAAATTGGTCGAGTGCCGGACGCGACTCAATCGTGTTATGGAGATTCAAGACTTGCTCGCGCAATGCCAGATTCTCGGCAAGAAGTCGCGAGCAGTCAGTTTCGAGGCTGCGGATGCGGATAGATTGTATCGAGTTCGTCTTTGCGAGTTCGCGGTTTTGCCTCAAAAAGCGTCGTTTAAGGGCTTCGATGGATTCCGCCGACGGCTGAGGTGCAATCGGCGGCTCGTTGAGACGCGCCATATGCGCAGATAGGTATGTCGAGATTAATTATAGTGTTGTAGACGGTCGCGCAGTTGTCGTGGCGTTGCTACTCTAGGGCGTCGGTAGGTGTTCCTTCTGTGTTCGTCATTGCATGTTTACATAGCAACAAAGCTAAGTTCAGACGGGTTAGCGCCAAGAGCGCGTCCACGTGACGAGAGGGGCACCAACGCGTTCACCAATGCAGCAGCGCAGCATTTGATATGATGATAGCATACGCATCTCACAAGACGAAAAAACGGATAAACTCAACATATCAGTTTTCAGGTGCTCATCCAGGCCAGGCTTCCCTCCTGTTGACGCATCTACACAAGCAAAAACACCTGCCAACTATTTCCGATCTCGACTTCGTCAACCACAAACCTGACTACGTCAACTAGAGTCGATCGATCGAGAAATATGTCGAACTTCACACGGCCTCTTCCCTCACATCTCCGCAACCAGTCCATGGGCGGGTCTCAGCAACAATCCCCTGTGTTGCTTGCGCGCATTGCAGAAAAGAAAGCCGAATTAGCCAACTTGAAGGACCTGCAAGCGCTAAGCGGAGGGCTTGCAGACCAGATGCAGATGCTCGCTGACAAGCTATCGACATTGTCAGATGGAACAGAAGGTATGTCAGGCGTTGCACGCAGAAAGCTGGATCGATAGGACTGGCAGCCGGCACAATAGGAACATCATACTAATGTTGCGGTTGATCAGCGGTCGCGGCAGTGCTCTCAAACTGGCATAATGTGCTAAGAGCTATAAACATGGCGTCAAGTATGTTCTCCATTCTCACAAATCCAGCAAGCACTAATTCGAAAAAGCAAAACTTCCAAAACCGAAAGACGAGGATGAGACAGAAAACAAGGCAGAAGATGGGCCACCATTGCCCCAGACGCTTGTCCGCATTCCTACACAACACGCTCCTGCGGTGATAGAACAGGCGAATGCAGCCACTGCAGACGACTGAGCGGTCCTGACACGTGGAGTGACACCTGATTGAGTTTTCGCGCTGCTGGAAACTCTACGAGTAAGGGCGGACGACAAGGACGATAATCGACGCGTGATCGACTAAACGTGCATGTCTTCGTACTTTGATCCGCAAGACATTGCAAGCAAAGATGTCTCGCTAGGAGAGCTGCACGCAGCCGAGCCCAACGTCTGCTGCGATTGGTTTCACAACTGCAGAACAGCGTGTACACGGAAGAACGGTGAAGACTGCACCAATCGGAGACAAGAAGGATGAGAAGACGTCTAGTAGGAATTGAGGTTCCCAGCCTCGCATGTGCAATTCTAATGCTACAAGATAATGCTTATCTGCATCTAATGTCTCACGTCCAGCCACAAAAGGCGACGTTTTGCGGACTATCCAAGTCCTTTCCCAGCGCTATGCAATGACGCAGTCCAAATCATGATGTGCCTCTTGGACACCCGTAACTCCAAGCAATGAAAATCGTTTCCAAGTCGTACTGACCAACCCCCAGTAGACACTGAGAGTTTACCAGCTAGAGCGCAGCTTGCTTCTTCTGCTTCGGCATCTTCTCGTAGGCATTTGGGCTTGGCTTCCTCCGTTGGCGCTTGTGCTTTTGCGGGGTACTCGATCCCTCGCCGTGATCGTGGACGTCCTCACAATCGTCGTGAGCATGTTGATGTGGCCGTCTGCCGCGCGCTCCACCCATGCGCCCAGCAGGCCTTGCGGTGCTGTTGTCGGGCTCGGAGTCGGAATCTGAGTCTGACGATGAGTCTGATGAGTCGTCGTCAGAAGACTCGTCAGCGGCGCGGGGTTTGTGGTAGATGCAGCAAACTTCAAGTCTGTTAGTCCCTGCCATGACAGCATCGCGCGGACTGGATCAACGTACCTTTGGAAGATTTCTTGCCCATGCCTTCGTTGTCAACCACGTCTTCGGCCCATTGAATGTGTCGGCGTTCTGATGGCTCTGCGCGTAGACGAAGCACACCGGAAGGTGCTGACAGACGCAATACGGGCTGAGGTCGAACCTCCATTGTTCGACTCCCAGAGTTTGGTGTGGCACTCCTAGGAGATAGCGTGTGCGGGGCGGCCATATTGGTGAAATGCGACATGTTGCTGGTGCGGCTTGTGTAGGGTGATCGGACCCTTAAGAAGTTGGGGTGGCAGTGGGGCGTAGCTACGCAGCGCAGGGACCAAAGGGAATCGCGAGCTGCAGGGCTGGGAATGAGCCCTTATCGAGATCCAACGTCAGAGCTTGGGCGGAGTGGTGGTGAATGTAATCAAAGAAAGTAGCAAGAGGGTGTGAGGGGTGAGCAGCGAGTCGGTAACAGGTCAATGTCGTGTTGCATGTACGTCTTCGTTGTTCGATGGTGATTTGTCTCGTGAGAGGAGAATGGCCAATGCGTCATAGTCAATCGGTACTTCCTCGGTGAAACCCATTCCTAGCCAGCCACGTTCTGTCCCCACGATCGCTTCTGTCGGCTTCCATCGCTAATGCTGTATGGCCACACACCTGCAAGCCCGCGTCGTGCGGCGTGACCCAGGTCACGCTGCATATATACTGCTGCGCGGCTCGCTGTGCCATATTTTCTTTTTCGTCATGAGGGACTATCCACTACCCGTCCGCGGACATCATCGTTGGTGCTAGCAAGAGCATGCGGTTTGACTCGCGAGGAAGCCCACCTCTTTCGAACATCCGGCAGTTGTGTATACCACATCCATGAGCCTGCACAGATCAGTTGTTACGTTGGAGCTCCTTCTGACGGCTTTAAAGGTACTGCGAACACGATCTTATCCTTCGTGTACGGATGAGCAGGAAGTAATTGCGTTGCACTTCGCGAGACGGAGTTTGCCCGTGTAATCAACGCCACAAAGCTATTGCATCACCAAAGCATGCATAACATCAGCTCGAGGATACATGCTAAGGTGTTACAGTCATGACATACTAGAAACCCGGATGCAACCGAATTGGCTTTCGCTATATCTTCAAACAGAGTCGCTCCCAATATCCAGCGGATATTGGTTCACTTTCCAAGCATCTCACGACTTCTACGCAGACGCTATACAATCGATCACAGTCCCCGCTGGACTTCTGTTGAATATGGGCGCCTACGACATGACCCAATCAAAGTTTCGACAAAGAAGAGAATGTCCGGTAGCGTATGAAGCCGATATATCCCTTTCCAAGCGCACAATACCAACGCCACCGACTTCTACTCATTAAATCAAAAACGGCGTGACAACATGAACATCTACGCCGTCGGGAATGATGACATCTTGGCTCTTAAACGAGCCCGTCATTAAAGCGTGCAAGAATTATTCTCTTGTATTCCAATCATTCCGCACCATATAGGGTCTCACGCCTCCCGGTTTGGATCTTTCGAGCAAGCGCGTGATTATCGAATCGATCGAAGGCTTCTTTCACAGGCAAACGTCTTTCATTGAATCAATCCTTGCATGGATCACAAGGCATACGGCCGAATCAATCGAGTAAAAACTCAACCTGGTATCCCCAGATCCATTGGGATTGTGTAAACCCGACCTCTGTCTACCTTAGTCTGCAGAAGATCCCATGACATCGCGTTTTGGGGATTACTGGAAGCTGGCCCACCAGCACTGGTTGCATTTCGAGGTGCCGGTGTTCGTACGTTTGTTTCGAACCGCAATGGGCATAGAACCCCCAACGACAGAAGTTGTTGATCGTCCATATGCCCAGAAGTCGGAAAACAAGCAACGAGATATTCCACCAGGAATACGTAGATCCCAAAACGCATGGAAAGGTGAAGGTCGCCTGTCACGAAGTCTAAGTTGTGATATTTGTCGTACAACCCACTTTCTGGCGCTTAGGGTTACAGTTCACACCACTGTCGATCGATCCATGATTCAAGATTCGCAAAGAGTCGTTCTCGATGTGTGCGTGCGCGACGAGGATATACCCTTTCACTAACAAGTAGACTCAAAACTGGAAGTTAACGATGAATTACTCAAGTGCACTGTCGTCCAACATGACATCACATGGAGTAATCTCCCGACAACAAAGCCGTACACGCGAGGCTGTAGTAAAGGCCTAGACATTATGCCGGTAACCATGCGCTCATCAAACACCAGAAGCCGATTTTGATGGCGATTCCGATGGCGAAAGACGGGTAATCTCCCTAGTGATGAAGGGGTCTCGTAGGGCGAGGCTCGTGGCGGTGAGGCAGATTTGGCTGTTCCTTCGTGCCTCAACAGTCGTCGTACAAAAAGCGATGCACGACTGCAACCCCGTTCTACGCATTCAATGCCTATGAGTTTCACAAAGCTGCGAAGAGTTTCACATGTCAAAAGGGGAGCAGAACAAATATGACGGGTGAAGGGCACAATCTCGATAAATGACGGTTGTTAAGCGGAAGCGGGCTCGGGGGAGCCTGCATGCAGAACGCAAGGCAGTCGCAGGTCGTGCACAACCAACGCTCGGCCGCTGCGGGATCGGGAAATGAAGACAGCGTGGAGCGGGTTTGTTCTGGACCAGTTTGAGCTCCACAGCATCGGAAAGGGGGAGGATTGTGTTTTTGCGGGTCCTGGGCGACCAGAGGACGAGAGTGGCTATGCAGCGAAAAAAGATCGCTGAGCTGTTGTGCTTCGGGGAACGTAGCACGATACTGCAGCGTGGAGATACGGGCGTTCGCGTGTACATAGTATGGTTCAGGGGCCCAGGGCGCTTCTGAGCGGTCGTATGGCCTGGAACTCACAACGGGAGCCCTGGTCGACAATCTGTTGTTGAAGAAGAACCGACGAATGACGGAAGTTCACGAAAGGGTTCCTGCAGTAGCGACGCCCATTGCGGCTAGCGGGACCGCACGGGCGCGATCCAAAATAAACGGTGCGGCCTAGCTGCCTCCTGAAGCTGCAGGCCAGTAGGGGTTTCGGGTGCAGCTGACGGGTGGATGTGCAGCTGGGAAAATACGACGATAGCTCTATCGATTGCGTGCAGCGAGAGACGATAGCAGTGAAGACGTCGCGACGCAGCGGGCGGTGGGCGAGGGCGTGA